CCGCCCCTTCCCCGCTCGCCAGCGGGCAGCGCCTCCAACGCGTCCGCCAGCACACCGGCGACAGCCCCTTCCCTGGCCTTTTGTTCCTGGCTGCGCCGTTTCCGCCCTCCCACGCCTGCCCTTCCTCCCGGTCCTACAAGTGGGGCGAGGACCCTGCGGGAAGCCGGCCGGAAGGAGGCGACCGGCATCAGTTGTGCGAATACTCACCCCGCTCCGCTCGGCCCGACCCCGCGGCCCAGCCCGGCGGGGCGGGGCGGGGCGACGGGGTTGGGGGAGGAGAAGCGGGGAGACACCAGCGCACTGCGAGGCCACCTCCGTGCCAGCAGCCCGAGGGAAGTCAGGGACGGGGCTTGCGGGGACCACGAGGGAGCCCGCGAGGAGGCGAGCCAGCGAGGGGGGCCCGCGTGAGACCAGGCCCACCAGAAGCACCCGAGTCCGAGCGTGCGCGCTGCGCTTTACCGAGCGCCTCGGGGGCCGCCTGGCGCAGGCAGGTGACGTAGTAGGCGGCGCGCTCCGGGGCCGAGCTGGGGCAAGGACTGGGGCAGAGCGAGGCTTCTCACCCGCCCGCCGCGGAGGCCGAGGCCGAGGTCCCGCCCCTCGCTCCACCGGCTTGGCTCCCAGTCTCCCCCACCAAACGTAGGCCATGTTCTCAATGGCCCGCAAAGGTGGCTCTGGAGAGGGTGGAACGGAGGCAAATTGAAGTTTGGGAGAGGAGTGCCAGCCAATTCAGTGGTCCCTGCGCATCCTCCTCCTGCAGACTGCCAAATACCTGGAAAATAAAGGAGTGCCCAATGGAGAAAAACTAGTGCAGAAGCAGGATGAACCACGCGGTGCCACCCGCACGGAAGGGCTCGGAGAACGCTGCCAGCTTCACACCTGCAGAAAGTACTGTGAGCACGGCTGAGCACGAGCGCCTGCTCCCTTCCAACTTTCGGGAGGAAGAAGTTAGGAATTCGGGTATGACAACAGTATAATCTATACCACATACCTAAAAGGGGTTAAATAGAAACAAAAGTAAGTTGGGGGAAACAGTGGAGAAAGAGAAAAATATGATAGTAACAGGGATGAGTGAACTGAAATTTCAGACATGGGAGGAAAAAGTAACATCTTTAAACAACAAAAATAAGTTTCTCGGAGAGAGTAAACACTGGCCAAAAACTGAAAGGAAAACCTGTCTATGTGGTTTTGATCTTGCACAATAGCTGTGTAAGGTGTCGCCACTGGAGAAAACTAGGTGATAGGTACAAGGAACTTAAGATACTGTTTTTGAAAATTCCGATGAGTCTGTAATTATTTCAAAATAAAAAGGTTTCTCAAAGGGGTCAGAATATTGACCTTCAGTGAATGGTTGCAGAACAAGGGGGTTGAGTTAGACTTAAAAAGAGGCAACATTTTTTTGGAGGGAGGGATTATAATACAACTGTTTTATATCTTGATCATGTTGATTAATCCACTATTTTGTCAAAACTTGTAAATAGGATAAATTTTATTGCACATAAAATAGTGTAAAAGTCAATTTTCTAAAAGGTAACTCTTGTAAAAATTCCACTAATATTTTTGAACAACTGGATATAAATTCATTTCATAGATAGACGTGTGTACGCTCACTGGAGCAAGACAGAGGGAAAGTGACAAATGACCCTTAGAGGGTATGGCAGGCCACAATCCCTTCTCCTCCCGTCTCTTGGGAGTTTTTTGGCTGCACACACACACTTGCTGGGCATACTTTTCAAGCCACCAAAACTGGGACTTGAACCTTTTGGGACCCAGCCACCTTAGCCACCACACTACTGACTGGTGGGAGAAACACCTTCATGCACCAACTTCACCATGTTTTTCTGCACTAGAGATATTTCGAAGTTTTTTAATTCCCTTGCCAAAACCAAAGAAACTAAAAGAACTACAGAAATCAAGCCATCTTTGTGTGCTTCCTCTTACCATCTCACTCATGGCAAAGAACAGTAACTGCCTTGTGTGTTTTCCCTATAACATTATAAAGTGCTTTCAAGCTGTGTCCATCATCATACCATCCCTAATCACAGTGTTCCTCACTAGTAAAAAACAATGAATTAATCACCAATAAAGAGAGAGGAAGTTAAAATTTAAGTGAACATTTACTATAGTCCAACAGCTTTTTATACAATCACGTGATAACCTCATGAGCTATTCATTTTATATTAATAGATAGAAAACCCAAAAAAAGATCATGTATCCTAATGATTAAATCCCTTTCAGTACTTATTTTATTCAGTTTCTCTGTTTCTTCGAGACGTGTTGCTTACTTCTAAGTGGTTTTGCCTTCCTTAGCTTTGATAAAAATCGAAGTCCCCTGATTCATCTTCCAGTCTCTGGTCATTTTCTTTCACCTCCAGGCTTGTTTGTCCTTTATACTTTAAATGTCCCTATTTCACACAGTTTCCTCTGCTCTTTGAGGTTTTGCATTGTTTTGTCAAAACTCATGTTAAAAGCAAACCAAAACACACTCCAAAATAGAGTTATAAAACTTCATTACACTCAAAGTTATTTTCCTTTAACCAATGAATGTTTTTTGTTATTCATGATAGAGCATGTGTGTACACACACATGAGAAAGGGGTGGAAAGGTATGATACCTTTTTTCCCATCATAAGAGTTAGAACCAGTGGGGCCTGCTGGTGGGGTATTGGTTAAGGCACTGGACTCCCACATGGTCAACTGTAGTTCAAGTTTTAGACCCAGAGGTTTAAAACTCATGCTGGGCACCTGTGCATGTGTGCCCCGAATTCCAGGAGGAGAATGAAGGAGAGGGAATTGCGTGTTGCCATCCCCCTGGGGAGGTGGGGTGGAGAGTGACTTCTTGCTTTCTGTCTCTGTTTCTCTGGTAAGTGCATGTGCCCAATAGTAAAAATCTCTCAAAAAATAAAAATAAGAGTTACAGCCAATACTCCTACAACAAAAGACAGATTAACAAAAGGAAAGTGTAACAAATTTATGTGCTTTATCTTTTTTTTTTTTTAGATTTTTTTTTCTTATTACTATTTTTTTAGCTAAGATCTAGCTATATCAGAGTCCTCCTGCCTCAGCATCCCAAGTAGCTGGGACTGCAAGCATGTGCCACTATACCTGGCTTTTTTTTTTTTTTAAGTTTGTTTATTTTATTTATAGGAGAAAATGCATGAGGATGCATGTGAGAGAGAGAGGCACCCTTGACAGTGTCTCATCACACCATGAGCCCCTTCTCACAGCCTTCTAGCTTATTGAGATCTTGGTATACACACACCTGGCATGTTTTCAGATTGACTCAGGATCTGAACCCACAGTGAGAAATTTGGTTTCAAGCATTGCAGTTCAACGTGCTGCCACCTGTGCCACCAGAGCTAAGCACACACCTGGCTTTTAGACTAAGCTGGAAATCCAACCTGGGCCTCCCTTGTGTCCTCAAATTGCTGAATAGCAATGTCAACCATAGTATACTACAGTGGCTGGGCCTTTAGTGAATTTATTTAGTCAACATTTCACATGATAAAAGCCAGACTTTGGCAAGGTAGTTAAAGCAAGACACTGTAAGAGGCAATCCCACATGAGACATTACCGGTTCAAGTCCAGAGACCTCACTGAGCATGCCAGCCACATGCTTGCCCATGAACCTATGTCCTTTTTTGGAGTGTAGAAAAATTATGCATAACTCTAGCATGAAGGCTGGGAATGAGTCATGGTATCAAGACCCTGTTAAAGGTGCTCTCTCTCTTTTGGTCTCTTTCACTCATGGAAGAAATAAATAAGTTTGAGAAAAAAAGTTTTATGTGACATAGGAGTCTTCAGAAATAAAGGCCTAAGTACGCAGGGATAATTATCCATTTTTATGCTTAGGTTTGATGAAGGATGGATAGCCATGTAGAAATGTGACTGGACAAAAAAGAAATGATCTAATGGTAATAGCCTGAGTGAGGAAAATCAACAAGTCCTGTCTATTTGGATTCTTCTTGGTATCTCTACAACATTCATTCCTCTCAGATATAGGGCAGGACCCCTTCTGGAATGAGAGTATTATAACCTACTATCAGTCAAGGTGGTTAGAAAATTTCTTTATGGCCAGCTGTTACCCAGAAAGATGGAGGAAAGTTAGAGTAATATTTATGGCTAACTTGGGAGAAGGGTTCTAGTTTCTAAAGCCCACTTCGGGGAAAAGGAATTTTAATTTATTTGGCCTGCCTTGGAGAAGCAGGAGAAGGTTAGAAAGAGATCGCTTTTGAGGCACTTCCAATATCCTTCAGTTCAAAGTGCTTAGTTGCCAAAGCACCATACTTTGGGGCATTATTTTCTTAACCTCAACAAATGTATTGCAATGAGATTCTATCTATGCTTGTATGTTGAAGATCTTTTTCTTAAGGGCCTAGTTTTAGTTTGTTTTGGTTTAGTCTTCGTATTTGTTTGTTTGTTTTGAAGTTTTAGATTTTTGCTATAGAGCACATGCATTTATTGGAGAAATATCGAGACAAAGGAAAACAAAGGGAAAATGAGAAATTATTCTCCATAGGGGATAGCCACACCACAATGCCTTCTCCTTTCAGGATTTTGAGCATACACACACACATGTGCCTGGTGTGTTTTTCACGCCACCAAGTCTGGGACTCGAACTGTGCAGTCAGCCATGTGGGATCCAGCCACCTTAACCTCCATGCCACCTGCTGGCCCAAAGGCCTAGTTTTTCACTCCAAAGGGTATAACACATTACAAGAAATTATCCAATTAGAGAAATTTAAATAAGGATCAGAACATTTTACTTCATGAACATTAATAATTGCTTCATCTGTGTTTTATGACGTTCTTGGTTGGACATTTTACTCTTTCAAGCATTTGAGGTCATTTGGGAACCATAATTTGTGTTTTAATTTCTCAGGAGAACTCAGTGTTCTGAAAGATCAGTCTGGCAGTGGTTTTATATACCCAGGATGCTTGAGTTTTCCCACTGGAATTATTTGAGAGGACCCTATGTCCTTTTACTTTTTTGGAGTGTAGAAAAATTATGCATAACTCTAGCATGTCCTTCTGGGTTATCAAATTCTAGCCTTGTTTGTTATCTTTGAGCTATTTTGCAGTTGTTTGTAATTGTAGGTAATGATAAATACCTGTATTCTACCTTCTCTGGTAGTAATTTTAATTGCCTGCCCCATCCCTCCAGTGGAAGAAATAAGCTCTATTTCCTTTTGTCTGGTTTCCTCATGTGTTTATTTTTGTATATGTATAAATGTCATGATTTTACCTTTCTATGAAAATGATCTTTTCATGGGAGTCTGGCAATTTACACCCATAAACCTCATGGGGATAAATTCAGTGTGCACTTTCATTTCCAAGTCTCACTGAAATGTCCAGAATTGCTGAATGGTCTTTGGAGGAATAGGAAAAAAATTGCCCTGGAAAATGTACCAAATTGTGTCCAAAGAGTCTTTGAATGGAAAATGGTAAAAGATGATGACAGGCCCAAGAAGAAGTCAATGAGACAGTAGATCAATAACCAACTATCTGTGATAAAGGGATGCTGGACAAAGAGGTCTTCACAAAGTTTATAGAAAATGTATATTGGGAACCTGCAGCAGTTAGCGTAATGGCTATGTCGCTGGACTCCCACGTAGTAGACCGCAGTTCACGTCCCGGACCCAGTGGCTTAAAACTCACGCTGGGCGCGTGTGCATGCGTGCCCAAGATCCCAAGAGGAGAATGGAAGAGAAGGGATTGCGGCGTGACCATCCCCCCTGGGGGGTGATTTCTCGCTTTCTGTCTCTATGTCTCTCTCTGTCTGTCTGGCTGTGTACACACACATGAGAAAGGGGTGGAAAGGTATGATACCTTTTTTCCCATCATAAGAGTTAGAACCAGTGGGGCCTGCTGGTGGGGTATTGGTTAAGGCACTGGACTCCCACATGGTCAACTGTAGTTCAAGTTTTAGACCCAGAGGTTTAAAACTCATGCTGGGCACCT